GGGGGAGGTAATTAAAGAGCAGGCCAATCAGTTCATGTCAGAGACATATAATATAGGATAAACCTACTAAAAGCTGTATAGCTAAAGGAACTAATCAAGAGGGAGGACTCTTGCTAAAATGTTCAATCCCTATCCAGAAAGGCAAAGAGGATGGACATCAGAAGAAGGAGAAAAGAGGGAACAAGTCAGGAGCCTGACACAGAGGACCTCTGAAAGGCTCTGCCCTGCAGACTATCAATGCCTATGACTTATGGGCAGTCTTTGGGCAGCAGGGAATCTTATGAAAGAAGTGGGAAACACTAAGATCTGGAGAGGACAGGAACTCTACAACGAGAGCAACAGAACCAAAAAATCTGAGCACAGGGGTCTTTCCTGAAACTGCTACTCCAACCAAGGACCATGCATGGAGATAACCTAAGACCCCTGCACTGATGTAGCCCATGGCAATTCAGTATCCAAGTGGGTTCCATTGTAATAGGAACAGGGACTGTCTCTGACATGCTAAGGAATTTAAAAGGTTTGCTGGCCCATCTGAAATGTAAAAGGGGTTCTTGCAAGGATTTTTTTTTTTTTTTTTTTTTTTTTTGCCAAAGCAGAAAATAGGCTTTGGACAAACAAGACTTTTTGTGTTCTAGATCATAAATGCTAATTCAGTCACTTGTTAACAAAGTTAACTTTTTTTTTTAATGGCTATGGATCATTTCCAAATATTGCGTATGGTGATGATAATATGAATTGGTACAGTCTCCTCTTTTGTTTTCTATTGCTCTGATAAAAATATGGTGACCAAAAGCAACTTGGGAAGGAAATTTTATTTTGATTTACGTGTCCATACCACAGTCCGTCTTTGATGGTAGCCGGGACAGGAATCTGGAGCCATGAACTGAAGCAGAAACCATGGAGGAGTGCTGCTTACTGTCTTGCTCAGCCTGTTCTCTTATGCTGTCAGGATTACCTGTCCAGGGGATAGTACTGCCCACAGTGGGCTGGGCCTTTCCACCTCAATCAGTAATCAAGAAAATGCCCCAAAGGCTTGCCCATAGACCACCCTGATGGAGACATTTTATCAGTAATGCTTTCCTCTTTCTAGACAACCCTAGCTTATTTCTAGTTGACAGAAAACAAACAAATAAACTAAGCAACACACACATAATGAAATGTCACATAACCTGGCACAAAGATAGGCCATGCAGAGGAAAGAAAAAGAATATACCTCCAAAATGGTAAAACAAACAAACATCATGGTAACCCCAGTATAATAAATAAAAAGTATTGCCAGTGTTAAGATTTTTCAGCTTCTGATCATGTACGGTACATAGGTAAGACATCACCACTGTGGGGAGCTGGATGTTGGGTGTGTGAGACTTTCTATATCAGTTTTGACCTCTCCTGTGGCTCTGTCACTACTTCCACATAAAAGCACACTTATTACACCCACACAGTGATTTGTGGCCAGCCCTAGATCAATCAGTGTCAGTCACCACCAATCTACGCAGGAAATCTCACCCTGGCCCGTTGAGCCTTTTGCTTTCCCTCCCCTGATAATCCACAACTCCACCCTTCAGAAACGAGTTCTGTCTGCTCTCTGCCTACCACGCTCCACCATTCCCAGTCAGAACACAGGCCACAGCCAGCATTTTGATGAAGCTGCTAAGTTTGCTAGGCAATCAGGGGAACAAGCCCCTCCCCAGCAGAGGAGTAATACACACCCCTATTCTTAATTCCCAAAGCCGTGGTCTCCACCCTCCTGGACTTCTCTGAGTTGCACACAGTTTTTCAGAAGCAAGAAACGTGATACCCAGGGTAGGAGGACTCTGAATAATAGTGTGTGGACTGGAGTTTATCCCCAGGAGCCTAGTAACCCACAGCCCATGGATTAGTCTGGTGACCCTTCACTCCCCCTGGATGTATATGTCCTGGCTTTGTTCTTATTAGCAATGGCAGCTAAATGCTATATTTTGAAGGAAAAAAAAATGGTGGTGGTGGGGGGGGGAGGTCCAAAAGATAACCTACCAATTTTAACTTACACATAGAGAGGAATGTGTGGGTCACTTGGCTCCACCATCATTTTCATTGGGTTGCTTTGGGGTCACCATCTGGGATTGTTCTCCCTGTTTTATGGGGGAAATATGTACATGTATTTTCATAATGTGTAGCATGCATATCCTTTGGGGTTTCCAGCAAGGAATGATGTCTTTAACGAATGCCTGACTTTACCTTGTGTGCAGTGGCGTTTCTGTAGGATTCTGTCTATCGAAATGATTGTCTTACCCTGGGTACAGGGAGATGGGAAGCAAGAAGTTAGGGGCCGGGGAGCTGACAGCTAATCTGCTTGTTCTAAAGGTCTGATCAAGCACTTAAGTGTTTCTCATGCACAAGAATCAACTGTCAACAAACTTTATAAGCTTAGCAGAATTTTTTTTTTAATCAATTGGATAAATGCCAGTTGCTGGACAGAAAAACAAACAAGCAAAAACAAAAAAAAACAACTGTGGGGTTTGCTTATTATTTTGACACCCCAACGCTTTACACAGGTGTGACTGCATTTGGCTTCCATCAGGTACTGTGGTGGCAGGTCTCTCTGTGGTGCTCCTCTTCCTGTGCAGCCTTGGCTGACAGCAAACTCCTGATCATCTCTTCATTCTGTTGGGTTACAGTCCATGCCACTGTACCTCGCTCTACTTCATTTTTTTTTTTGAGGATTTGTTTCATGTTTAATTATGCGTAGGCGTGAAGGTAATGCACATATCAGAGTCATTGCTTCCCAGGACTGGGTTACCGGTGGTTGTGAGCTCCCTGATGTGAGTGCTGGGAACTAAACTCAGGTCCTCTGGAAGAGCGGTAGGTAGGCTGAGCCAGCTCCAGCCCCTCCAGATTTTTCTGTGTAGAGTGAGCGTTAAGGCTGAAGCTTGTGTGTCCCGTCCAGCTGCTCTGCTGGCACCCTGGCTTTCCTGGGTCCCAAGTCAGCAACATTTCAGCATCCACCATTGTCACCGAAACCAAGACTTTCTACTTACTTAAGGGCCAGTCTTATCACAGCCACTGTTGTATTTGGAACACCATTTAGCCACTCTATCCCACTTTTTTTTTTTTTTTCTAAACCTGGGCACCGTGAGAAACCGTGATCTGGGTATTGTTGGATCTAGTGTCAGTGATCTGGTCTGAGAGGGCTTTTGGAAGTCATTCACATCATGTATCCATCACTCTTCTTGCCATGTGGCATTAGAGCAAGGACTTGCTTGACACAGGAGATGCCTCCTCCTAGTTAAATCTACTAAATATCTTCTGTTTTCCTAGGGCACTCAGCTAACAGCTTGGTTAGAGCTTTTGAATAGCTGAGTCATCTTTTCCAGCTGAGCGAGCTGAGGCTCAGCAATGTTAAGTGGTCCAAAGTCTGTATGGTTTCCAAGGACGCTAGCTCATGATCTTTGCTCCAAGCTTATGAGCTGGGTGAGCGCCCAGCCTAAAGGCTGCCATGACAAGCCAGCTACCTGGCAGCACAGCCTGAATCCATCCCTGGGTAAGACAGTGAGGGAAGCGGCTCTTAGCAGCCCTTCCTGCATCTGCTCCATAGCATAGAAGAGATCCTGCTATTCTCCTCAGTCTGACTTAGGCATCGCAGTCTAGACTAGAATTCCCAAGTTTACCATTTAGCGCTGGGCATTGTCACAGGAGTTAGGTCAGAAAGAGATAATGTTTAATCCTGTTCCCCACAGTTCACCCAGAATTAGACGTTTAGAATGCCTCATAGACATGAAGGCTTGGAAAAATGACCCCAAGGTCTGTCCATACAGAATCCTTCCACAAAGACCATGCCCACTAGAACCTGACTGTAACCAACCCTGACACCTCTAGAAAGGCTGATTTGGGTTCAGTTCTTCCTCGTTCTTTGCTCTATGGTCTCTTTTAAGATGATACCCTGTAAAGGAGGATGAAGTAGTAGTCCCTTTTGTTCAGTATTTTTTCTTTTTTTTTAACTTTTTTTATTATTGTTTATTATTATTAGTTACATTTTATTAACTCTGTATGTTCAGTATTTTTAAAAATTTATTTTGCGTATGCAAGCACATGCAAAGCCGTGTGTGTGTGAACAAGAGCTATCTCTCTCCTGGAGCTGGTGGTTGTAAGCTACCCAACATGGGTGCTGAGAACCAAATTCTGGTCCTCTAGAAGAGCAACAAGTGCTCTTAACTGCTGAGCCATCTCTCCAGCCCTTTGCTGTTGTTGTTAGTGTAGGGTCTCTCCTGTCTCCACCTTTCTAGTGCTTGGATTACGAGCGTGTTCTGTCACATCCAGTTTGTGTTCACACATAAGTTCTAGGAATCAAACTCACGCCCTCTTGCTTGTGTGGCAAGAAATTTCTTAACTGATTCTCCCCCAGCCCTGCCCTTTAATTTAGTTAGAGTTACAAACACTTCTCACCATGTTACCTCATTTGTCCTTAAATTCACCCCGTAGCCCTGGCTGACCTGAAACTTATGACCCTCTGGGATGCCAGGATTACAAGTGTGTGCCACCACCCCTGGCTACATACTTTTTAAGGGTGATGCAGGCTTAGCGAGAACATTTCTGAACCTTGGTTGAATCTTTCCAGTTAGTGCTATCTATTCCATTGTGGCCAGGCCTGCTCTTGTTGCCTCCCTGACCCTCCCCCCCCTCGTAAATGCAGCTCTTTGGAGCACATATTTAATGATAACATGAACTAGAAGACTCCTTGGAGCCTCTTCCGTGTACTGAGTGAAGCCATGCACAACCCCCAGCCTGGAGATCCAGCCGAGTCCCTCACATGCTCCCCGGACTTGGCAGTAAAAGCTGTGTTCTTCCATTCATTCCGGTGATGTATAGTCTCTCTGGGCGTCTAATGTTAAACAGGGGAATTCCGACATGTTCCGTAACGCATTTACTGTAACTTGATACCACGAACTATACTTGCTGTTATTTATCATTTCTTTCTTTTTTTTTTTTTTTTTTTTTTTTTTTTCCTTTTTCTCTCATTCCAGCACAAAGCCAAGGTGGAAGCAATGACTCTGGATCTGGCTGTGCTCCATAGCGTGCAGCATTTTGCTGAAGCATTCAAGGCCAAGAATGTGTGAGTGTTTCAGTTCCGGGGTTACACATCACAATTCCTTGCTGTTGTAATGTCTTTATCAGATGAGCACAATCTCACGCGGACACAAGGCTGCAGTGCTCATTTATATTGGCGCTGTTAAGGTGGACCGTGTTTTCCTGACTGAGTCACCCTCCTTATGAGATGTGTCATCAATCTAATAACAGCTTCCCAGACCAAAAAGAAAAAAAGAGACGACATTATTAAAACCCGTAGGGCTGATACACACTGGGGCAGTTTGAAGGCGTTCCCTGTTCCAAATATGTTGTTGTGTATCTATCAGAATCTCGGAGAAGCATACCTCAAGGGCCTCCGGCCACCTCACCTTTTCTGTACTAACGGGGCTGAACCCCTGAGCGTGCTGTCTTCTGGTGCTCTGCGAGCCTTTGGTACTTGGACATAGGGTGTGCATATAACTCCAGACACAGCTGCGGGTTGTAAGACTTCCCAACCCCTGGTGCCTCCTGGTACCCAAAGTCCTGGTTGGTTCTTCCATTTAGTGCATGGAAGTAAATGAGAATTCTTCATCTGCTCTTCTAAATGCCTTCATTGCAGGGGTGGAGGCAGGGGAAATGATGGGCTGAATACACTACCACCCTCTAGCAAACCCCCTTCCCTGCAGAGGAAGAAGGAAGAGAAGAGAAATGAAGAAGAGAAAGAAAGAAGAGAGAGGGGGAGGGAGGGCACGAAGCCGAGACGCAGGCTTCATTCCGATGAAAGCAGTGATGGCTAGCTCTGTTGTAATTATAGTATTTCGTTCCCAAGGTTTATTTTTATGGTTGCCTCTATAGGGCAGACAGTACTGGTTTCTCATTTACCACAGTGGCTTCGGTTTCATTAATAAATAACTTCACTTAATTTTATTTTCCAATGAGGTGATTGAAGTATGAAGATTAAGTTAACCATAGCCCAGGTGGTGCCAAGTTGGGGGATAAATGGTGTGAATGATTCCAGCATGCCTGGACTGGTAGGGCTCAGACTAGGCCATGATACAGTTCCCTGAGCAGATTAGAGGTATTGGGGGAAGGGGATCTTCAACCAGGTATTCAAATGCTACTGTGTTACCTGGTTTCTAGTCCTGAGTCCACTCTGGTCTTCCAGACCATCCAGGTATTTCATCTTTGCTGAGCAAACAAGTGGCCTATTCCTTAAGTAGAGCGTCCTGTTCACAGTTCCGTAGACTTGCATTGTTCCCGAGTGAAGACCCTTCGATGACTCGTAGGCACAGCTGGATCCACCACCCACTCTTGTCCTGCCAGTCAGAAATGTGACCCCCACCGTTGGCTCTTTCCAGTGCCCTGTCCTCACTCACTGGCAGCCCTTGCCAGAACTATCCATGGGGCTGGAGACCCAGAGCAGCACCGGCCTGCTCCTTTATTTATTCATCTAATCCTTCATCATTTACTTGTTCATTTACTTAACAGGCATTTGCTGAGCACTTCCAAATTTCAGGGCACTCTTCTAGGTGGACATTGCTGGCCACTGGGAGCCAAGTGACCTCAGGCAAGCCACAGCCTAAGTTGTTGGCAAGCCATGATGCTGCCTCCTCATCCCAACATGCCTGTGGTTGTTGAGGGACCAAAATATTTTATTATTGTTATTGTTATTATTATTATACTTTATTCACTTTGTATCCTGTTTTTAGCCCCCTCTCTCATCTCCTCCCAGTCCTACCCTCCCTCCCTCTTCCTTCCCTAGCCATCTCCCCTGATCCACTGCGAGGGAGAGTCCTCCTGCCTTACTGTCACGTCCCATTAGAACTGCCTGGATCCTTTTCCTCTGTGGACTGGCTAGGCCGCCCTACCATGGAGAAGTGATCAAGGAGCAGGCAACCAAGTTCATGTCAGATACTGTCTCTTCTCCCCTTACTCAGAACCCACATGGAGACTGAGCTGTGTATGGGCTACATCTAAGCAGGGGTCTAGGTTCTCTCTATACATGGTCTTTGGTTAATGCATCAGTCTCTGCAGCCTCCCCTGGGCCCAGCTTCATTTTTGGCTTTCTTGGCCTCCTTGTGGGGCTCCTGGAAGGACTAAATTATTAACAATCCTAGCAGAATTAGTACTAGCTCATTTGGGGAGGGGGGTTCAGTTGAGGGACACACATTTAGAATGCCTTGCCTGTACCTTCTGGTTCAGTTCTGAAAGCACCCTTTCATGGTGGGAGTAACTTTATTCACTATATAGATGAGAAGGGTGAGGCTAGAAAGATGGAGTTAAAAAAAATGCATAGGTAGCAATTGGTAAGTAGCAAGCACAGCTCTATATGACCCTTTACACCAGGATTCCCTCTTGACTCCTCTAGTATGTTGTCTTTTATTGCAATGGTAATGGAGACTTGTACTCAGAAAACTAGTGGATTTCTTAGGGTCCTCAGTCATTGATGGCAGAGAGAGGACTCTGTTCATTCAAACTCTTCCTTCCTTTCCACCTCTCTGATTAGGTACTGAAATGAGGGTCCAGGCTGAAGAAGGCCACAGCCCATCCTCCATAGCTCAAGACAGGCATTAGATTTTATTCAGTAAGTAGTTCATCAACCATCACACTTAAAGGCCTTTTGTAATCACTGACCTAAACTCTTGGAGTGGAAAGATCTCCCATTTTGCAGTAATCTTTGATTTTCAATACTCGTATGTTCAGGCCTAACGGCAGTTTCCCTTAGAACCTCTCCCTGCCTTATTCTTTCTGTGTCTTAAGAGTATAGGGTTGCACGCAGAGGAGAGAAATACTGCCGTACTGAAAATATGTATAAAAAGGCAGTGATTTTTCCCTTTTGACATACTGCCAGTACCGAAGTTTTCCTCTGGAAAGGCAAATGACAGCCCAGTGCTAACGGTCTTTGGATTCGGAAAGCTGTCAGAAGTGAATTTAAGTGCTGGTGACCAGACTGCCAGAAAAACACGTGTAACTCTAGTCTTATCATCGCCTCCCATCTTTAGACATTAAAATTTCCTTGTGTGTAAAACATAATGACAAATGAAAGAAAGCCTGCTGGTTCAGAACCAGTCCCCCCCCCCCTTTTTTTATATTGTGCAAGCTGGACCAAAGAGAGGAAAAGCCCTTCAATGTAAATTCCACATGGACGCTCCATTATGCTCCATTTAATAGATCTTTTCAGAGCCTGCGCGTGAGCGCCCTGGAATAGCATCAAGGCTCTGTGCAATCTTTGTTGCAAGTGTGACCTCTCACCCTGGGACGGGCAATGCATTTATTTTGTCACTTGGAGATGAAAAAAAAAAAAAAAAAGATGAAAGCTGAAGGCAAAACACTGGTGGAAAATGCAGCCTGTCGGAGAAGCTGCAGAGCTGGCCTCTCCCTGCCTCAAGGAGACTGGAAATCAGCCTCCGTAGACGTCTTCTCTTTGGAGTGTGGGGTCAGGATGAGAAGACTGCTGTGGAGCAAGCAGGGCTGGTGACAGCTATGGAAGCAGTAGGGGCTAACCAGACCTTTCCCTTCGTCTGCATTTCTCTACGTGCAAATATGCTAAATTCTTTCCCTGCTCTTGTGTGCGCGTATGGACGTGAGTGTTGCTGTACATGTGTGCATGAAAAGGCCAGAGGCTGGCAATGTATGTCTTCCTCAGTCACTCCCCACTTTTTTTCTTTTTTTTTTTTTTGAGGCAGGATGTCTTCACTGAACCTGGAGCTGGCTACTTGGCTAGGCTGGCCTGTCAGGAAGCTCTGGGCTTCCTCCTATCTCCACCTTCCGAATACTGAGGTGATAGGTGTGTCTCCCTTTCGTCTGCCTGCCAGTGTTTGGCAGTTTGAAGGAGAATGACCCCCATAGACTTATGTTTGAATGCTTGGTCCTCAGTTGGTAGACCTGTTTGGGAAGGATTAGGAGGTGTGGCCTGGGAGGAGGTGTGCTGCTAGAGGCAGGTTTTGAGATTTCGCAACATTTAAACAGTCCCAGTGTGCTTTCTCTGCCTTGTGCTTATAGATCAAGATGTAAGCTCTCAGCTTTTGCTCCAGTGCCAAGCCTTTCTCTGCCATGCTCCCACCATGATGGTCATGGACTCAAACCTTCAGAAACTGTAATCCCCAAATAAACCCATTCTTCTACAAATTGCCTTGGCTGTGGTGTCTTAGCATAGTAATAGAAAAGTAACTTAGGCAGAATGGATTGCAGGAGCTTAACCTTAGGTTCTCATGCATGTGTAGCAAATACTTTACTGACAGCCAGCTCCTCAGGCCCTGTGCAAAGCCCTTATTCATGTATTCTCTGCTGGCCTCTTACAATAACCTTAGACTCTTGCATTATCACTCAGTTTACCAAATCAGAAGATCCAAGTACACAGAGGGTCTAAGTAATTTTCCCTTTGAATTGAGTATTAGAGAATTTGAACCTAAGACTGTCTGCATCCAGACACATTCAGGACACATGACTGCTTGCAACGATTGTTCTGCTGAGGTTCTGTGCAGACTTCCTACCCAATCTGCCTCCCCAACTTGTTTGCTCATTGCTTTTTCATTCATTTCTTCTGTCATTTTCCACTTCCTTAACTGGGTGGTCAGCTCAGGAACCTCAGTCTGCTGTTCCATGTTTCTCCCCAGGGTTAGTGGTGATGGTGGTGGTAGTGGTCAGCCAGTGTGTCTCAAGCCAAATTATTCCGGACATTACTGGAAAGTTCCAAACAAGAGACTGGCAGTTTCCAATCAAACTGTATTTTTTAAAATATTTTGTTTTTGTTTGTTTAAATTAGGATTTGGAAAGGGAGCCAGACTCCATAGTGCTGGTAGGCAAGGGAATCTGTCAGTGGGGAGCAGCTGGGGAAAGTCTCTTTCTGATTCATCACTCATTGGGATGCCCTATGACAACTCCAAAGCCTTAACTCATTGGTGATGGTGTCTTTCACACTTTCAATATGACTATAGCTGCTTCGTTTACCAGAATAGGAAGCCTACACCTCGAGGCATAAAACAGCTCAGTGAGCCAAGGACAAGATGTTCCAGAAGTGTGTTCTTTCTCACTAGAGTTCTGTCG